AGGATCTGTGGGGGGGGGCATCCAACTCCGAGGGAATCTCAGAGATAAGAGGAATGTGGCTTAGACCACAGAGGCATCCTGCAGGCAAGCAACCGACACCGTTTCAGAAGGATGAACGGAGAGTGTTCTTGCCTTTCAGCTCATTTGGCACCAGAATCCCTGAATGGACCTAGTGAAGGATCAGGAGAAGAGCTGCTTGTCACGATCCCGCCATCTCCCTCCATCACCCCTGTCTTTTTGTCACACAACAACCACGACAAGCAGCTCCTGCCACACTCGGAGCAGGCCAGCCTGCCGACTCCAGAGCCCTCTCACTGGGCAGAGTGGGGCTTCAGTCAGAGGGAGACCTGTTGTGACCCAGGGGCTAGACCCCTTCCTCTTGGCAAGGGGCCCATGGGTGGCCGAACTGCCCCTTTTCCTGGCTGCTTGCTTACTTGGTACATCTGCAGATGGCACAACGCTGGGAGAGATCCCAGGGGACGGCCGGAGGGCAACAGGAGGCGAGCCAGGCTGTCCGCTAAGGATGAGGGTGATGGGATGGAGAAAGATGTGAGCAAAGGAAACTGCTGCCCCCTCACCCTCAAGGGCCAGGCAGGTGTGGCAGAAAGACCTGAGATACCTGCTGAAGCGCCCGGGGTGCCTCCAGGGCAGGCAGTGCGAGCGCAGCCCAGCGCACCGCTCCAGGGGGGGGAGACCCAGAGGTCCAGCTAGAGAGTGCCCTGGAGACCAGCCAGGGCGCCTCAAGGGATTTGACGAGAGTGACAGGCAGCCGAAGGCTACGTACCAACGTGGGGGTGGATGGACGCGAACATGCCGCAGCAGTGGCCACGGGTCACCCTTCGTTCCAGGCAGGCAGGCAGGCAGGCAGGCAGGCAGGTGGCCCCTCATCACTCCTACCCGGCCCGGCCGCTTCAAAATGAAAATGAGGGAGAGGACCCTTCCTCTGGGGTCTGAGCAGGAGGCAGGAGAGCTTCTCACCACCTCTGGGTCTGGCAGGAGGATCCAGTGAAGCAGCTGCATGAGTTTCTTTTAGCCTGTGCTGCAAAAACAAGAAAAATTGAAAACAAAAGATTTTGTGCTGCTTCATAAAGATGAGAGGCTGCCATTCTGTTGCCCACGGGCAGAGCAGAAGGAGCCTCCCGTAAGCGTTCCACCCATTCTGCAGCCCCCCCCTCCCTTGAGTGCCCAGCGCTGTGGCCAATCTCATCCCCTGGCACAAGAAGCGGCAGGCGGCAGGGAGCCTTCCGGAGCGGGGGGGGGACCCTTCCGTGATTTCCCTCCTGCCCCCTATCAGGTGGATTTCCATGGAAGCGTCCATGGATTGCAGCCTCCACATTCTATGGGGCTGGGGCAGGGGGTCAGGAGCCCTCGAGGGGCCGGCATGGTTTAGTTTTCATTTGGGGCTCCTTTCCAGAGAGGAAGGCTCAAGGGGACCCGACTGGCCTGGCCTCCAGGCGTCCTTGGTCCTCATTCTCCCTCTGGGTGTCCCTTTCCAAGGCCGCTCGGCTGCTGGAGGCGCCCAAGAGGGCTTGGCGGCCGGTGAGGGCAACTGGCCACCGGATGTCGGGACTGCCAAGGGCTGGCTTGGGTTTCCACTTGCTAATCCCTAGAGGGGAAGGTGTCAGGAGATGGCGGCGGGGGGGGGGAATTATTAGTTCCTGGCAGAAGGCTTCCTGACAGACAGATGGCAAAGGGTGGAGGTGGCCCAGACCGTCATGCTGGTCGGGTTCCAGCAGCGTGTGGATCATCCCGCACCAGCCCCCCCTCTTCCTCCTCTGGGGGGCACTTTGTTTGCTCTGACCGCCCCCCCACTTCTAGACACTCCCCACCCTTGTGAAGGAAAGCACAAGGGAAGAAGCTCATCAAGGCCAACCTTAGCAGCTACTCTGATTGAAAGGCAGGGTTGGGGTTAAGGTGAAGAAGCCAGCAAAGAGCTCTGCCCCTCCCCCACGCCCCCCCACCCCATCAAATGGCCAGATACCCGCAGGCACCTGGTGCCGTCTGCAAACGTGCAACCAAGCCTCCCCCCTCCCTCTCTGCTACACACACACACACACACATGCATGCACAAACACACACACACAGAGAGAGGGGGTGGGCTGTGGGTTTATTTTTGACCTGGGTTCTTTTCTTAGCTGACCAACTGTCAGGCAAACATCCTGGAATGGGAACCGGGTATCTGAGCCCTACCCCACATGCTCCTCTCCTTTCTCAGCCCCACAGAATTATGACCCTGATCCAAGGCCAATTCAGGGTGGGGGGGAGAGAAAGAATCTCCCTCCAAGCTCCCCCGCCCCCAATTCTGGCAGGACAGCAACTCTCATCATCCCAAAACGCTTCCTTTTCTTCCTTGTGTCTCTCCTCTCCCCCACACACACACACACACACACACACACACACACAGAGAGAGACAGACACACACACAGACACACAGACACACAGACACACAGACACACACACACACACACACACACCAATGTCCATTTCAGAAGCTCTGTAGAACCTGGGAAGAAGCTTCGACGTCCCTCCCACCCCCACACCGTCGAGGCTTGCCTCCTTTTTTGGGTAGGGGGAGACACGGGGGGGGGAGAGAGGTCTGTGGCTGAAAAGCATATCCTATCAGGTCCGAAAGAAAAACAAAAATGAAAAGAAGACAAAAACAGGGTGGCACCTGGAAGACAAACTGCTTTCGTGGACAAGTCCACGTTGTGTGTGACAAACTGGGTTGTCCACAAAAGGTCATATTAAAACATAGCAGCTTTAAGTTGCTGCCATGTGTTTGCCTTCTTTTTCTATTTATTTATTTATTCGTTTATTGGTTTGTTTGTTTGTTTGTTCATTCGTTCGTTCGTTCGTTCGTTCATTCATTCATGCATTCATTCATTCATTCTTTTATTCTTTTATTCTATTTGTACCCTATCTATCTGGTCAAAACAACCACTCTAGGCAGCAAAGTTTTGTTTTGCTTTGGACCTAACCTGCAAGCACAGGCTAACTCAGCAACCTCTTCTGAAACTCTGACTGAAAATGCCTCCCCCTTGCCCCCCCCCAGCTACCCCATCTGACCCTCCTGATCTGGTGAGGGTCAGCATTTGTGAACAGGAAATGCTATGTGCTGACCTTCATTTGGATTTCCCTAGACAGCCCAACCCCGTAGATCCTCCCGCTGGGCATCTGCCTGACCGTGTGTTCCTGAACAGTGCTTGTCATATCCAGGCTTGACTACTGTCACACCTTCTACAGGGTGTGGCCCTTGACATGCCCAAGTGCAAAATGATGGGACAAGCCCACCAGCACCCGTTTCTGTTCTCTCTCTCTGCCCTGGTTGCAGGTTCAGCGCAAACTCCTGGCATTTCCCTTGAAGGCCACAAAGTGCTTGGGACCAAGAAGCCGGAAAGCCGGCCTCGTCCCACAAGCAGCGCCTCTGACCTCGTCCAGGACCGTGTCTGTCAGAAGGGGGTACTCAGGGGTGGGACCCCTCCCCAGGGCTGTGCTGTATAGTCCAGTTGCGTACTCCCAGCCCCACAATAAGCTGGTGTATGTTGAAAGGAAAGCAAACACGGGGCAGCAGCACACCCCACATAAAGTGAGGGTCTCCAGAAGGTCTTGTCCCTTCTGAGGGGGACCCAGAGCTGCAGGGCGTGGGGCCAGAGCCAGACCTACAGGGATTTCTCTGTGGCACCACTGTCACATGGTGGTGCTCTCCCAGCCCTTACACACAGGCACGCGCGCGCACAGGCACACACACACACACACACACACACACCCCGTTGAGTGTCTGACCTCTAGTAGGCTACGATTGTTTGCCCCACACCTCCCCACACCCCTTGGAATGAGGACCTCCAAGACTGAATCGGAATAGGGCCGTCCGGCTGACTGGGGGTCCCCACCCTTGCTGGAGAAAGAGAAAGAGGGTCATGAACAGGGACGGCACATGCCCTGCGCCACACCGGCCCGACGGCCTGGCAAACGGACACCCAGGAGGAGGGCCTCTCTTGGACGGGGATGAGGGGACTGACAGGCGGGTGTGGGTGTGCATATGTGTGCGACTTGCGGTGGGGGTCATTATAGGGGAAGAGGGGGCCATTGGGACATTCAGACCTCCACGGTGAGTGATATCTTGGGGGGGAGGGAAGGGAGGGGAGCTTGCAAAGGGGAAAACATCACCACCCACTACCCCACAGGGTAAAAACGCTCCACTCCCCCCTCCAGCTGCTCATTTTGCTGGAAGCAACACAATCGTGTGGGTGTGTGGAGCGTCTCCAACATCCAGCTGGGGGGGGGCAGTCAGTATCCACCTTGCGTGGGGGAGGGTGCAAGAGGACTCTGCACATGTTAAGTGGCACCTTTTTTCTCTCCTCCGTGCTCAACCCAAGGCATACGAGGTCAGCATGATGTGGCGCAGGCGCTCCAGTGCGCCCTCCTGGTCCAGGGATGCGTTTGCGCGTTGCCCTTTGCATGGATGCCAGACCCAGGGCTTGGCCCCTGGCCGAGGGAAGCCCCACTCCAACCCATCTCTGCGGCAGCCCTGCCACCCTCCTCCTCGGCAGTGGCACGGCCCATTTCTGCCTCCATGTGGCAATGGATTTCATCACGGGGCTGCCCTTTGGCCCATCCGCCAGGTCTCCCTTCCCCCCCCCCCCCCCCCCAACAATCCTGGGTGAAACATCCCAGCAGCTCCTCCTTGCCTCTTAGGGCAAAGCCCAAGGCCTCTGATGGGTGAAGAGCCAGAGAGGGCAGAAGCGAGGAGGGAGGGGAGGGAAAGGGAAAGGCGAGGAGGCAAGACTCCTGGGCACTTCTGGGGAGGGGGTAGAGACCAGATTGGGGCGGGGGGGGTAAAGCAAAGTGGCACTCTGCATCCCTGACCCAGGGGGGAGGGGCATTTTCCTCCCAAGTGACCTCCCCCCACCCGGTTGGAGGGCTTGGCGGCTCCTTCCTCTCTCCTCTCCTGCCTGACCGCGGCCACAACCAGCGGGTCTCTTCCTTCTCCCTCCTTTGCTCTTGCTTCCCCTTTTCCCTCCCGGGCACGGAGTGGCCTCCCTGAACAGCCCAGCCCACAGTCAGCTGGGGACAAGGCTGGGCCAGCCTGATACCGGGGCAGGGGAGGCTTTATCAGGCTGCAGGCGGCCAGGAGAGAGCCAGCCCGGCGGCGATGGCAGGCAACGAGCTTCCAGGGGCCTCTTCTCACCCTCTTCCTTTCCCTTTCCCTGCAGGTGCCACCGCTGAGCCAGGGCTGGCAGTGGCAGGATGGCGACCTCCAGGGCAAAGCCACCGCCGCAGCCGCAGCCCCTCCTCCTGCACGTCCTCCTCCTCCTCCTCCTGGTGGTGATCTCTGCCTGGGCAGACGAGCTGTTGGTGACCACTCAGACAGGACAGGTGCAGGGCATCCGGATGCCGGTCCTGGATGGCCATATTTCTGCATTCCTGGGCATCCCCTTTGCTGAGCCCCCTGTGGGCCCGCTGCGGTTCCAGCGCCCTGAACCCATCAGGCCCTGGAGCCACGTCCTGGATGCGTCCGCGTACCAGCACGCCTGCTACCAACTGGTGGACAATACCTACCCAGGCTTCCTTGGCACAGAGATGTGGAACCCCAACCGGAACATGAGCGAGGACTGCCTCTACCTCAACGTCTGGGTGCCCTCACCACGCCCCAAGAACGCCACCGTCCTGGTTTGGATCTACGGGGGCGGGTTCTACAGCGGCTCCTCCTCCCTGGATGTGTACGATGGCCGGTTTCTCACCTACACCCAGAAGATTGTCTTGGTCTCCATCAGCTACCGGGTGGGTGCCTTTGGTTTCCTGGCCCTCCTGGGGAGCCAGGAGGCCCCAGGCAACATGGGGCTCCTGGACCAGCGCCTGGCTCTGCAGTGGGTCCAGAATAACATCCAGTACTTTGGGGGCAACCCTAAAGCTGTCACCATCTTTGGAGAGAGCGCTGGGGCAGCCTCCGTCGGAATGCATCTCCTTTCAGCCCAGAGCCGGCCTCTTTTCCAGCGAGCCATTCTGCAAAGCGGGACACCCAACGGGCCGTGGGCCACCGTCACCCCGGCAGAGAGCCGGCGCCGCGCCACCCTGCTGGGCAAGAGGGTGGGCTGCCATTTCACCAACGACTCAGAGCTGGTGAGCTGCCTCCGGTCCAAGAGCCCGCAGGAACTGATTGACGAGGAGTGGTCCGTCCTGCCCTACAAGAGCATCTTCCGCTTCTCCTTCGTGCCCGTCATCGATGGGGATTTCTTCCCAGACACCCCCGAGGCGATGCTCAGCACGGGGAACTTCAAGGAGACCCAGGTGCTGCTGGGGGTGGTGAAAGACGAGGGCACCTACTTCCTGATCTATGGGGCCCCGGGGTTCAGCAAGGACAACGAGAGCCTCATCAGCCGAGAGAACTTTCTGGAAGGGGTGCGCCTCGGCGTGCCCCATGCCAACGACATCGCTGCTGAAGCTGTGGTGCTGCAATACACAGACTGGCAGGACGAATACAACGGGGAGAAGAACCGGGAGGCCATGGATGACATTGTTGGGGACCACAATGTCATCTGCCCCGTGATGCAGTTCGCCAGGCGCTACGCCGAGCATGGGAACAAGGTCTACACCTACCTCTTTGACCACCGAGCCTCCAACCTCATCTGGCCCCTCTGGATGGGCGTCCCGCATGGCTATGAGATTGAGTTTGTTTTTGGCTTGCCGCTGAACAACAGCCTCAACTACACTGCTGAGGAGAAGGAGCTGAGCGAGAGGATGATGCGCTACTGGGCCAACTTTGCCCGCACTGGGTAACTGGGGTCACAGCGAAGGATGGGGCAAAGGGAGGACCGTGGGTGTAACCAGTGCAGCTTGTCCAAAATTGGGGAAATTATTCCTTTTGCCACTTTGGCCATCTGGTTCTGGGCTTGTTGGGGTTTCTGCATGAGCCTCAGAGGCAGCCCCACACAGAGTGCATTGCAGTTATCTATTCTTGAGATTCCCAGTACATGGACAAAGATGGAAAGGGGCCCATTGTCAAGGAAAGAGCATAGTAATGCAATCCATCTGAGATAGAAATAGGCAGATGAGACCATAGAGGTGTTTCAGAGTTTCCATAGATAGCGCTGGGTCCAGTAAAATGCCAAAACTGGGTTTGTTTGCTGGGCTTAGCTGGCCAACATCCTTAACTGGAAGGGTCTTCTTATGTTCCTCCATTAGGACAGGGGAGTGGATACTTAGGCTGCCAGAGGGAGGTGACAACTTTGGCACATGGCGATTTCTTATATTTTCAATATTATCCACCATTCTAGCAGCCAGGCTAACAACGACAACAGTAAGAGTAACCTGTCTCTCAAAATTCCAAATTTAAAATGCTGAAGTTAGAGCAGCCGCTGGAATTTGCACCTGAATTGTCAGAACTGACAGACTTTTAAGCTTTGGCTGGAAATGCCAGCTCCTGCATGCCTTTCACTTTCCCTCTTCCATCCAGCACAGACACAGAAGGAAGAGGGGAGGAGGAGGCCCCTTACCAGATGGAGGGAATGGGGACTTTCCAAGACAGCAATGGGGCAGATAGGGGGCAGTCCCAACTCCCCAAAACTGGCAAAGGAGGTCACGGAAGGAGAAGAATGCAAGAGCCAAGACCTGTTCGTTGAGGCTGCCACTGGGGATACAGGCATGAGGGACACCCTTGCTGTGCCTGGTCTGGAGAAGAGCTTTAGGAACCTGGGGCTTCTCACAGTCCTCTGGTCTCCCCTGAGTAGCCTTCCCTCCCTGGATTATCTGCCAGCAACAGCAGCAAGCAGTGGGTGGAAACAAAGGGGAACCAAGGACAAGGGCCTCCGCTCAGAAACACACTTACACACACACACACGCACACTGAACTGCAGCACCACCAGGCAGGCAGGCAGATGGATCAAGGCGCCGAAATCTGGGCAAGAATCCTGACCCCCATGGCTTCCATCGCCAGGAAGCAGTGACTCACCCCTTCCCTCCCAATGCAGGAGCCCCACGGACGCCTCAGAGAAGGACGCGGCCTGGCCCCAGTACACCCTGGCCAAGCAACAGTACGTCAAGCTCAACACGGAGCCCCTGAGTACGGATCGCAGCTTCCGAGCCCAGATCTGCGCCTTCTGGAACCGCTTCCTTCCCAAATTGCTCAATGTAACAGGTGAGCCAAGCCGCCCTTTGTGCCTCTTCACATTTAAACACCTTGCCCCCCCCCCGCCCCATCCAGCCTCTCAAAGTGGTTTGCAGAAAATCACACCAATTGGAACAATGAGCCCTTGTAAACCCCGCCCCCCCAGGCAGCCCCCTTCCCTGTCCTTTTCCTTGATGGCATCAGCAATCTGCTCCTCCTGGTGGAGACCTGTGTTCCCTTCTGCCCATCAGTCAGAGCTCTCTCTCCCCCACCAGAAAGGGTTGCCCACAGCCCATCGCTACCTCCCTCCTGGCCTGGACATCACAGGAGGAGAACTAGGGAAGACAGGCCGCCTTGCTAGGTAGGGGAGGCACGCTTGAGGCCTCAACCAACCAACCAACCCACCCCCACTGCCCCCCTCCTTCTGCTCGGGCCGTAACCCTCCTTCTCTTCTCCCTTGTAGCGTCCGCCAGGCCTTGCACTGATCCTGGTCCCCTGCCAGAGCACCTTACACCAAGCACCAGCCCGGGGGCCCCCTCCGGGTCATCTGCCCGGCTCCTGCCGCCCCTCCTCCTCCTCCCCCCACTGTCTTGAGCACCCTGCAGATCGAAATGAAGAGGAGTGGGAGGAAATCACCCCTGCACCCCAAATTGGGGGGGGGGTTGTCATCCTGGCAGCTGGACCGAGGATCAAGGCTGTGGGAAGGCTTCAACGCCAGGAAACAAGGAAGGAGGGCCCCCAAGAAATGGGGGGGGGGAGAGCAGACACATCACTTGCTGGGCAGCCAGAAGGAAGGAGACACAGAATTCCATGGAAAGCTGACATCTGGATTGGGGGGGGGGGGGGAAATAATTTAGAGTTGTGCTGACAAAAATGCCATGGAGAAATCGCACAGGGAGTGTCTCTTTTTTTTGCTTTTTTACAATCTGCTTTCTTCTCTGCAGCCCATTCCAACCACCAATGAGCCTCTCCTGTCTATGCACAGCAACAAACGAGACATTTGACACAAGGGGAGGTGGGCTCCTTTCCCTGCCGTCCCCTGGAGGCACAGGGGGTCTGAGCAGGCGTACAGGGTGTCCACATGACCCACGGAAGCTTAAGCTGCTTCAGGCATACAAGCCCACACCTGCTGTTCTCGGCCAGTTCCCCCCCCCATCCCCTCCCCAGCCCATCATGCATGGATCTTTCTCCTTCTGATGAACAGAGTCTGGTGCAGACAGAGGCTTAAAATGCCACTGAAACCCCTGCACGTGGCCAGAGGAGAGATGAGAATGGCTTATCAAATATCTTTCTCTGCCGTCCCATTATTTGTGCACAGAGGCTGGAGGTGTGCAGAGGAAAAGGGAGCTGGGGCTGTGGGTTGGGAAGGGAGCAGCGTGTGTGCGCATAGGGGGCAGAAAGAAGCCCATATCCACAAGGCATGGTCACAGGAAGGTGCAGGGCAAGGGACTACCTTCTCTTCCCCCCCCCCGACCTAGGTTGGATATCAGAGCAGGAGGTG